TAGGGTTGAAGGTTCCATGGTTTTAGGGTTTAGGGTTTCGGGGTTCCAGGGTTTTGGGGGTTTAAGATTACATGGTTCTGGGGTTTTAGGGTTTGGGTCTAGGGTTCCAGGGTCAATTCATCACCGGTGTCAGTACCATGACGCTCACTGGTACTACAACTCCTCGCATGTGTATCAGCGATTCTGTTTTACGACTGCTGATGGGTGCTTTACCGTATTTTCCTCACCTCAATCTATAGAACTTCCCATAGTCGCGCGCATGCCCCAAACCTCTGTCGAGCCTCAAGCGCCAACATTCTCAACCAAAGATACTGGAAGACTAATCCCTGACAGCTGAAACTCATATGAAACCCAATTCCTGCACCCTAGAGTCCTAAACCCTAAACTCTAAACCCTAGAGGCACTCCCTGAACTCTAAACCCTAAACCCTAAACCCTTATAACTTATAAACCCTAAACCCTAAACCGTGCTCCCAAGCGCTTCCCCAGCCCCGCCCCAAAGCCTACAGCATAAACCCCTTTAAGGCTACTATAGGGTACTGGGTTTAGGGTTTAGGGGTTTCGGGGTTTAGGGTTTAGGGTTATAGGGTTTATAATGGGGTCCCCTTCCCCTATAAGGGGTAGTGTAGGGTTCTTATATTGGGACCGTAAACCCCAAAACCCCAAAAGGCCGAACCTGGCATTCTCGACATTGGATCCCTTGCCGGGCTCGATTTGAAGTAAACGCCACGTCGAAGAGGGACCTTATAGTGATTCCCCCAGCCACAGAAATTCTGCATTTAATTTGCACTTCAGACCCAAGAATTCGAATCATATACTCCCTTGTAGGCCCTGTGGTCCGCATGTTATTTCGTCTCCTATGCGCAATGCAAGTTGTTTATTGAGGAGGACGTGTGTTTCGTGTTTTGGCTTGATGTCATCGACCTGCCACGCCGTCACATCCCAAGCGAGACTACTGGTTCTGAACCATCTAACCAAGCTCGCAAGCCTGCTGACAGCCTCCCCAACTGGTATTCTGCACACAGTCGCGCTTTTGGACTGCTGTGGGGGCCCCAAAGCAGTCCAAAAGCGCGAACTGTGGGCGAGGACTTGCGGCAGGCATTACTGGCAGTCACTGCCATGGTGGTATTCGAGCAGTACTCGGGGCTGCTAACAGCATCCCCGAGTACTGCTCGAATACCACCATGTCGTCATCCCCGGTGGCAAGATCGCTGCGGTTTCATCCTGACAGAGTTCATCTGGGTGTTCGGGCTCTACAGCGTGGATCTGGTCACCTGTGCCGCCTTTTGCGGTGAGCTGCGGCCAGAGAGAGAAGTGCAAAAGTGCTCCTGGAGCTACGTGGCCGCGCTGCTCAGCGCTGGCCGGAGAAGGATGCAAAGTGTGCGTCCTTGTTCAAGCCGGCGCTGAGCAGCGCGGAAGGAATTGCAGGACCAAGACGGTGGGACGCCGCTCCACCTTGCCGCATGAACGAAGCCGCGCCGACTGCGTGGAGCTGCTGCTGAAGGCGGGTGCAAAGAAGGACGCACAGGATATCGTCAAGGTATCATTACACCATCGTATTGCCGCCCCCCCCAAAAAAAAGTTCTAGTCCTTACACAAGCCTACTCCCGAATCCTAAACCTTAAAACTGGTTCTGGAGTGCTACACTCTCATACTTATCTTGGTACCTGGTCCTTAACGGAACCAATATTAAGAGCAAGTTTTTTTATCTCCCTGTAATTTCGAAGCCCAGTAAGCCCTGGACCCTCCTACAGCCCTCGAACTAAATCTGAAGCCATGCGCACGCACGCGCTCTCTCTCTCTCTCTCTCTCGCTCTCAGTCTCTCTCTCTCTCTCTATATATATATATATGCAAAAATTTAATCTATCAGTCTATCACTCTATTTGTCTGTCTTTTATCTATCTATCTATCTATCTATCTATCTATCTACTATCCATCTGTCTATCTACTTATTTATCTATCCATCTATCCATCTATCCATCCATCCATCTATCTATCTAGCTTCTATCTCTCTATCTATTTCTCTCTATCTGCACATATTGATGTGTAAATATGCATAGATATATGTATGAACACATCAGTTTATATGCATACATACAAATATGTATATCTGCATGTGTGTCAGGATACATGTGTATGTGTACATGTGTACATGGGTATAAGTGAATATATGTATACGTGTATATGTGTACATGTGTATGTATATATGTACGTATGTATGTATATGGTTTGTATCCTTCTCTATGTGCATTATATATACATCTATCCGTGTATATATATATATATACACACACATACATATGTACATACACGCCCCACCCAAACCTCGAAATCCATCCCCAAGCCTAAGCGAGGTTCGGAGATGCTCATCTCAGCCAGCAGGCACTCTGCTTCTCAGTAGATTCGTGTGTTTTCCATAGCCGCTGCTGAGGTTCGGCTCCTTCGGGCTTAGGGTTCTAGGGTTTAGGGGTTAGGGTTCTAGGGTTTAGGGTTTAGGGGTTAGGGTTTAGGGTTTTAGGGTTTAGGGTTTAGGGTTTAGGGTTTAGGGGTTAGGGTCTTGGAGTTGTTGGGGGCTCACACACCGTCGTCTCTTGGGTCTTGGGAGCAGATTTCCACACTCGGGTTCAGGGCTTTAGGGAAGAGGGACTTCCGAACCATTATACAATAATGATAATCAGGAACGCCCGAAAACCCTATTCTTTCTATCAAGGCCCCTACATTAGGGGTTTTGGTATTTGTTGTGTTTAGCATCGAAGGGCCTAGTCCGCGACGCGATCTCACCACATCCGCGAGCCGACAAGCCGAGGGTTTGCATGCCCTTCAGGCCTTCAGGCATGTAATATAGCTGCCTGATTACGAAGGTGAGTTTGCACTTGTACACTAGCTAGAGTATGCTGTAGCACACTACAACACGCAAAAGTATACCATACTCTACGGTATTGTCCTGCACTATACGGTACTATACTGTACTGCAATGTACTACACTCTACAATACTCTACTATACTGTGCTAAACTCTACAATGCTGTGCTCTATTCTGCTATACTGCTATACTATACATTGCTATAATATGGGAAGTTTCTATTCTGTATTGTACTATGATGTACTATACTATACCAATACTTTACTATACTGTACCGATATCGTACTATACCATAGGTTACAGTAGAGTACTCACTTACTTTACACCGAAGCCCTCTTCAAGAATTCTCTAGACCCATAGCCCTAAACGCTACACCCTAAAAATTAAACCCTAAATCCTAAACCCCTACACCCTAAACCCTTAACCCTGAAAGCAAGGCCCTAGAATGCTTGGGCTTGGAAAACGCCACACCCCTCCTTGCACTCCTTGAAGGTTCATAGTTTAGGGTTTTGGGGTTCAGGGATTTAGGGTTTGGGGGTTTAGGATTTAGGGGCTCAGGGTTTTTCTAGGGCGGTAGACATGGCTGCGTGAATCGGCACTGGCCGCAGATCTACTGGCCAAAGTGTCCCGCCGGAAGCCTGTGATGACTGGGGACACTGGCCTGAAAGACGAAGCGCCAGATCTTCGGTACTGCGTCGTTCATCTGAATCTCCTAAACCCTAAACCCTAAACCCTAAGCCCTAAACCCTAAACCCTAAACCCTAAACCCTAAACCCTAAACCCTAAACCCTCGCCCATTTTGCCAAGGTGGTGACTTGGCACACGCACGGCCAATAATTGCGGTTAGCTCTTTCAGAATCATGCAGTGCCGCCCAGGCGCTGTTGTCCTTGAACCTCAGCTGCTCCGAAGATGATGAAGCAGTACATGGGTAGTTTTCTAAATTAGGGTCCCTTTTAGGGTCCATACTATAAGGGTGCCGTACTATATTGGGGACCCAAAAAGGAACCCTAATTTAGAGAACTACCCACATGGCCATGAACAGACCGACCAAACACGATCCCGCGAAGAAGTGGGCAAGTCACATTCATGGTTGCCTCACGTTAACATGCACTGCCTAGACGCGAAAGCTCGCAGCCGCGACTCTCGCCGTGATCTCTCCTTGTTGGAGGAGGGAGAACAAAAAAGGCTTCGGCAGTGCTCGGAAGTCTTGGAAGGCTCTGGGTTATGATCTTGGCTTGCTCTTTTGTCACGTTATGGCAGGGATCTGCAAACCCATCTGTTTTCTGCTTGTCTTCCAAGGGGAGTGGACAAAAACGCAGAAGCCCTAAAGCGAAGCCATCTCAAGAAAAATAGCTAAACGCTACCGCCGAAGCGACCGAACATACCAAACCCTCAGAGCCCTCAACCCCCAAAAGCACGCAAACTTTGAGTTTCAAACCCGCACATGGAGAGCTAATCCAGGACCGACGACGTCGAAGCAGCTGAGTTTGGGCCCCAGCTTATGTTCTGTAAGTGGAGCCTCGTTGCCCAGCAGGCTAAGCCCGAACACCCCGAACACCCTAAGCCCTTAGCCCGAGCTGCTGTTCCCTCCTGCGCTGGGGAGTACTTCTGGGCCCTAAGCCCTAAACCCTAAACCCTAAACCCTCTTTGGCACCACTTCGTGGAGATGCGCTCCTCTTGTTCAGCGGCTTAAGCCCGAAGCCCTCGCGTTGCAGGGCCTTGGGTTGAACTTGGTTCGGTGGCTGACAATCGGGTGAAAGAGTCCAAGAGCCTCCAGGCCTGAATGCCTAAATCCACAAAGAGGTTTAGGGTTTAGGGTTTAGGGTTTAGGGTTTAGGGTTTAGAGAAGCAGCAAGGGCCGAAGCTTTAAAACCTAGCACCGTAAACCCTAAACCCAATGCTGTAGGAACGTTCAGGGGAACATCGCAATTGATCAGCCACTCTAGTGCTTTTAATTGAAGTGTCTTACCTATGAGAGTTTGCGTTTTTGTGTAGTTCAAACCGAAAACCCTAAACCCGAAACCCTAAACCCTAAACCCGAAACCCTAAACCCTACACCCTAAACCCTAAACCCCTAAACCCTAAACCCCTTGAGAACCCGAAGGTTCTGGCTCAACAAGTGCCGGAAGCTGAAGCTGCAACCGACGCCGGAGGCCGCCAAGCCCGGGTTCATCCTGTGGGCTCGGGCTTAAAGGGTTCAGGGCTTAGGCAAGGGTTTAGGGTTAAGGATTTAGGGTTTGGGATTTGGGCGGGTTTAGGGTTTAAATTAGGGTTTAGGGTTTAGGGTTTGGGATTTGGGGGGTTTAGGGTTTAAACTAGGGTTTAGGGTTTAGGGTTAGGGTTTAGGGTTTAGGGGTTTAGGGTTTTCCTTCAGCTACCATAACCTACTTTTTTTTGTAGGTCCTTAGTACAAGCCCTAACATAGAATTTATCGGGAACCAAA